ATTTATTCAATTATGTACAAGCTGCCCAGTGTCAGCTAACAATACAAAGAATTAAATGGTGGTGGAATGCTACAAGTTTCTTCAAATACCTATAGAATGATAGGTTTCTTTTATGCGAGTGTAAAACACTTGAATACACTAGTTCAATTTTCAATATGCGAAATTTTGGGGTTTGGGAGATTCAAAAACACAAGATATAAAGTATGTTAGTATCTTATTTTGTCAAATAAATTAAAATCAAATTTTTATCAGTTGGAGATCTTTAGCAGTATACTGTCTACAGAACGACTTTGACAACTTTGTTTAAAAAAAAAAGTGAACTTTATAACTTGATAATTTCCATTGCAGGTTTCTTAAGTCTAATCATGGAAGCATGTATTATGATTAATAAAAGAACTGCATTATGTCACATGTTTTCAACCTGAACAGCATATTTTACACTGCCTCAATTATAGCCATCTCTAATTCTGAACAACTGACCAGAGGGAAGGCAATTAGACAGTAGCATTTTCCATCACAAGAGACTGAGAACTAAATAACAATAATGACTGTCACTAAAAGTGCATACACAGCATTACTACTGAAACTTTGGACCTTCTAATCCACAGCCCAAAATTTAAATGCTTAGACCAATAATTTTATCTAAGCTTGAAATATTTCAATATATTTATTAAACCTACCAGAGACTTGAACATCTACTGGCTAATTTATTCTATTTCAAAGCATGCAAAGCTGCCAATAAATGAGGGTTTCTCGTGTTAAATACACAAATTTCACTTTTAGTAACATCAATAAAAAATGTATTAATAGTTTGAATAAAATGTTTATTAAACTGTGCTTGACATATATATACAGAAACTTGTAATTAAATAAATTAAGAATTATATTTTGGCTTTACCTTGTGAGTATGTTGGAGTACGTTTGTGGTCTTGACCAAAGCTTGGGACTTTTCTTCCAGTTCTGAGGTTTTGGTCTGTAGCTCATTCTTGGTGTCATTAAATAACTGGTTGATCTGAAGCAAAAAACAACACAAATAAGTTTATTATATATTGAATACAATAAAACTGGCAAACAACATGTGATTCACAGCACTTTAAGGACTAGATTAACACTTGAAATATAAAAAATGACAGATTTACAACAACAACAAGAGAGAGAGAGAAGAAATGATACGCAATATTTACTTGAACTGTTGAACAATCCTCAAGACTTATAATATTACATTATTCACTATCACTTATGAATACAATGATCTGAAGATGAAAGGTACACCTTTCGAAAGCGCTTCGGTTATAGGGTTTTTAATTCATTTCTGTCAAGACTTCTTGAAACTATGTGTTTTTCTAACATCATGACTGATAATGGAATATTCATTTGTCACCAAAATTTATTTATTTTGTCTACGTTATAGATATTGCAAACCGGGTTGTCTGTCTGAGAATTTTTAGGATAGCCAAAAACTGAGTATTATTGTTATTATTAGTATGGGGAATTTAGTCTTTCTGTATTGTAGAATCTTATATATATATTGTGAACCGTGGTGTCTGTCTGAGCGTTTGCCTGTGTACGCAAGCATGAATAGTGTTGATGCTCAAATTTTATTTCACAAGTAGGATATTCTACACTAAATTGTAAGGAATTAATCACACAATCATTCACATTTCAAAATGTGACATAACTTAAAGTATAGAAATGTAGATTTACCGCATGTTATTGTTG